GCATCTGTCTTGAATCCCTGAAGGCGAAATGTTCCCTCCACCAGAAGAGAGAACATCATGCAGTGAGAAGAAAGCTGCTGCTGCTGCCACTGCCAGGCAAGACCATCAACCCCCATGACACAGGATGCCACAGGACTTTTGGCTGTATCACCCCCATATAAAAATTCTTAGATGTATTTTAAGTTTGAAAACCTGAAAGTCAATAAAAGAATATGATATTTTATGACATTACAGATGTAAACAGTTGGGCTAGGGATATAGCTCAGTGGTAGAGCACTTGCCCAGCATATGTGGGGGTCTTGAGTTCCATCCCCATTACTGCCAAAAAAGTGTACAACTTATTGTGGCTTAACTTGTATAAATAAAAGTGCATAGGACATAGAGGTCCATTACAAGGTGAATACAGCTGTGAAGCCACCACCAGGGCCAAGAAACCGCGTTACAGAGCCACGGAAGCCGCCTCCTACAGGTCTCCTTCCAGTCTATAAAGTTGTAGCAGAGTAAAGTGAATAAGGAGGCTCCTGCCGGTGGGCCACCTGCTCATCATGCACCTGGCTCCCCGAGACACCTATCCTCTCAGAACCCTCTGATCTGTGGGACCATTTTGTTCTGCACAAACCAGGGAAGTATTGTGTGTCAGACAGGTTCCATCCTAGACTCAAAGAGCAAGAGGGCAGCGTGATTCCCTGTGGAGATCTTATCCAACCCTATCAGTTCCCAAATGCGAAAACTATTACATGGATATCAGTATTGATGATGGTGGGTTCTCTTGTCAAGCTGTCATCCCCTGAGAATAAATGAGGAAAGTCAGTGAAAGAACATTTCAAGTTCTAATATACGTTATTATTTATTTGTTGCTCTCCCCCCCCTTAATCTATTATTAGCTGTGGAGTAGGGGGTTGTAAAGCTATTTTTAGTTGTTCCTAGCGGAATGAACTTGCAGAAAAAGTTGCAGCCTAATGTCTGTGCTGTTCCATTAACCCTATATAAATCAGGGATTACCTAGTAGAAACTTCTAGAATCTTCTTTCCCTGGTTTCGGCCAGATCCATCTATATATCCATCATGCCCTGTGGCGGATGTGGGTGGGAGAGGAATTTTTTCCCTATCTCTGATGCCCTGTGCAAATGCCCACTCTCTCTTGATTTTAGGACTGGCGTTCCAGTCTCCCAACCGGTCCAGAAAGCTCCCAAGGATGAACTCCAAAGCATGGGTCAGCTTTCTTACTGCAGGTCAGCCGTTCAGCCTGAGAAGTGGCCCTTCACCGTGCAGGTTGCCCCTTCACCATGGAGCGTGGTACACAGCTCAGCTTTGTCTCCTTCTGGACTCACTTTTCCCAAAGATTTGTGCCCAAACCTCTCCACCCTGCAGTGCCATCTGTCCACCTTCTCTTTTCATTCTTGCAGTTTTCATCCTCCTAGTTATCCCCAGCTGGACTAACTCGGGGGGGCTGCTGGAACTGGAATTCTCACCATGGCCAGAGAACAGGTCAACAGAGGCTTGAGTTCTGCCTAAAGGTAAAATGACAATCTCTTCTTGAGCATTTGTCTCCCTCTCTAGAGCAAGCCAGTCTGAGTTCTTGCTTCTGTGTGTGGGCTCTTGCTGGACCGGGGTCCTGACACTCACTGGTCAGCAGTTCTAGGCTAATCCCAACTGATGTCTGCCAGGCACTGTGTCTTGGTTACTTTTTTCTCATTGCTGAGCCAAAATACTCAACACCCAAAATTAAGGAAGGAAAGGTTTATTTAGCTCACAGTTTGTGGAGGTTTCAGTCCACAATCAGCTGGCTCCAAGGCAGGGTGGCACTTCAAGGCGGCAGAAGACAGCAAGAGCAGCAAGAGCAGAAGGGGAGAGTCAAAGCAAGCCTCTTCCCCTCCCTTATACTGGATGCCAGCTATCTGCCCGTGTCTACACCATCTCAGTGCCCTCCTCTTCCACAAACTGAGGATGTTTATCAAGTAAGAACCCTGGCCCCTAGCTGAATCACTTAATTGAACTTTTTAAAAAGAGGATAAAAATAATTTTAAAAATTAGAAATAATACAGTATTTCAAAAAAACCAAGATGCTAGGAATTCAGCAATGGTTGTTATATTGTATATTGTTGTCTTCAAATATACCAGATATAAACATGTAAAATTGGTCAACAAAATTAAGCATTAACTGTTCCTTTCAATAAACCAATAGAAATTAGTAGTACAATTATCTTAGTTATCTTTTGTGTGTATATATATATTTTTCCCCCTTTCTTCTTTTTGTTTTCTCCTTTCCCTCATCCCAGTTATTCTTTCCTGAACTTTTAAACTTCTCAAACTAACACAGTGAACAACATTCTAGAGCAGTAAGGGCATGTCCTTTTCACCCCAGTAATTAGAACTGCTGAGTCACTTAAGCTTAAATGCTACTGAGTTAAGCTTCTTGACTCTTCAAGTTGACACAATGTATCAACCATAACAACCACCTCTTGTCAACTTGGCAACCAGAGAGACAGATACAAAGACATTAATTTTATCATTTCACAACTGGAACATTATAACACAGATTTGACAATCCTTAAGAACCAGTATTAAGTCTATCAACATTATATTATATTAGGACCATAACATTTCCTCCTTGGTCGCCCAAAGACTCATGCACATCCCTTTGTGCAAAAGGCATTTAGTCCATCTGCAAGAGTTGCCAAAATGCTAACGGTTTCAGCATTGCTGAGAAGTCCAAGGCCCAAGTCTTCTCTGAGATTTAAGGCAAACTCAGTTGCAGGCCCCTGTATAAGTGAAAAGTTAAACACTTCCAATATTCAATGGCACAAAATAAACATTTTCATTCCAAAAGTTACAAAACAGAGAAACACAGAGGAAGGAGACTCAAGCAGTTCTGTCCAAAATCCAGCAGGGCAAACATTAAGTCCTGTAGTTCCATGTCCAGCATCTGAAGCAATCTGTGGCACACTGTGAGCTCCAAAGGGCTTGTGTGACTCCACACCTATGGCACTTCTGGTGTTTACAGCTCCCAGGGCTTCTCTCTTAGGTCTGTTCTGCTCAATCCTTGCAGATTTCCTTAGATAATCCACATCCCTGGCTCTTCCAAACTTCTGGGGTCTCCACTGCACTTTCGGCTTCTCACTCACAGCTTCACACACTGCCCTCTCAGGGGCACACTGCCTGGCCTCCCAGGCCTACTTCTGAAACGTAGGTGGAAGCCTTTTTAACCTCAGAACTCTTTTATTCTGCATGCACCTAAAAGCAGTGCCCCATGGATGCTGCAAAGGGCTGCTGCCAGCTGGAGTAGCAGGCAGGCTTCCTTCTCTCCTGGCTATAGGAGTCAAGTGCCTGTATGGTTGAGCATTCTGAATCCAACTCAGGAACAAATTTTCGAGGCCATTCTGGCACATGGCATGGCTGCCCCCATTCTGGACCCTGATGGGGCCACTGCTGCCATTCTGGAACATGGTGCTCTGAGGCTTCCTTCTCAAGGCAAGGTCTTTCACTTTTGCAGTTTTGAGGCTGCAAAGGGTGGGAGCTTTCTGCTTCTGGTGAGGCCCTCAGGCCATCTCTTCTATTCTGTTCCTTCTCAGCAGTCGAGATCTCCCCAGCTCTATCTTTGTAGTCCATAACTTTCTAGAGCTTCCTTTCTGGCCAAACTCACATTTTAAATCATTCTGCTGGGCTCTTTGCTCTTTATTCTCAACATAGATCTGGCCCCAACAATAGCCATACCACTGCCTCAACATTTGACTGCCTTGAAATTTCTTTTGCAAGAGTAATCAGTTTGCTGCCCTTAATCTGTCTTAGGTAAAGTCTCTGGATATGAGCAAAATGCAGACAAACTTTCGGCCAAGCCATAACACACATCGTCTGGAGTCCAACAACCAATGCAGTCCTTCTTCCCAGCAGAAACCTCCTGAGCCTGGTCTTTACCAGCAAGATTTCTATCAGCATTCTGCTCTTCTGAGCTCTGATCAGAATCTCCCATACAGAAAGCCTGTGGTGTTCCAGCGCTACTCTTTCAGGCGACTTCTCTGAACCTTTCCAAACTCTTCCCATCTCCGACTCACGGACAGGCTCTGGGAGGCTGCTTAGTGCAGAGCAAACCACAGCTGTGTCAGTGCCAAGATCAGCAATGCAGAGGCAGAAGGCTGCTAAAGGAGCAGGCACTCGACAGGGCCCTGCGCTGGCTCATCCCTGGGTATAACCACGCATTATACATGACACAAGGACAGACAACAGGCATAGGGACAGTAAGATAATCCAGCACGTCCGGACACGTTCTTCTAGTTTACAAAGTACATTCACAATCCTTACCCCGTTTAGTTTATGGCCCCTTTTACTTTGTGAGGCTGCAAAGGCTGCTGCCATCCTGCCACTGTGCAGATGGGGACTCTGAGGGGCAGAGAGGCGGAATGTGTTGCCCCAGGCCCACAGCTGTAGGGATGAACCTTGAATTGGACAGAGGTTTCTGACTCCAGCTCCCATGCTGTTTTTCTTTCCTAAGTGGGGAAAAGGGCAAGGAAACCTGGATTCCTGAGGGTTAGAGCAGTAGCTCCCTTGCTGTTTTGCCCAGCAGGAGACCCTCCAGGCATCACTGTGCCTCAGGAAATACCAGGCCAGCACGAGCTCAGGGGTGCCACAGGATGAGTGCCCTTGGGCACCCTTTTCCCCCCAAGAGTTGACTTTCATGACTACCAACCCCATTTGTGGATACCCTTGAGGTTTACTGTTTGTTTTGTTTTATTGAAATACTAGAGATCAAGCCAGGATCTGGTGCTAGCTAGGCAAGTGTTCTTGCACTGAGCAATCCCACCCCTTTTTCTATTTTTGTTATTTTGTTTTTAATTTTGAGACAGGGTCTCACAAAATTGCTAAGTTACCCAGGTTGAGTTTGAACTTGCGACCCTTCTGCCTCAGCCTCCCTGAGTGCTGGGATTGCAGGCGTGCACCGCCGCATGCAGCTTTGAGCCTTAGTGTTGGAGAAAAACCTCTGGGGCTTCCTTCCACAGGTGCCTGGGAGATGCAGGTGAGTTGATGCTCCATAAGGCGTTCAAGCAGAGAGGAGCTGGAGATGTCCCAAGAGACAACCGTGTGCATTGCTCTCCAGTACTGCCTCAGTGACACTGTGGCAGCAGCCTGGAGTCAGCCACAGGGGGAGGAGTGTCTACCGCACGGGCGTCACCCGGGCTTGCCCTCTCCAGCCCACACCAGAGCAGTCACCAGCAGTTTCTATCCGTGACTCAGAAGTAAACGAGTGGGACGGCACCCTGGTGACCCACTGGCTGAGGCCATGAAGCCATGACTTGGTTAACTATTCAAAGCCTCTCCGTGGAGCTGCGCCCACACTGCGTTTGGAAGGCAGCCTTCTTGGGATCTTCTTCCTCAGAGTGACAGGATACGCATTCCTCTCCCAAGTGAGGGACGCTTCGCAGATTGTCACAAGGCTCTTTGTCCACGGGGCTGGTATGGGCTTTTTGGCCACTCCGAGTCCCAAGACTCGAGGGTGAGACTGTCAGCTTCGGGAACGTCCTGGCCGCCGGTGCTCAGGGGCTGTCACCTGCTGGCACGGACCGGGTGGCTGAGCAGCTGACTCCACCCCAAAGAAATCCTGCTGCACCTTGCTGTGGTTTTTGTGTGCTCTCTTGAGCACACAGTGAAGTGCAATTCCCATTTTAACAGTATTCAGAGGTAGGACCTTTCAGGAGAGCGTAGGCCACTGGCTCTGCCTCCTGGGGATGGTGTTTCAAAACGCCGGGTGTGGCCTCCTTCGGTCCCTTGGCCCGTCTGCCTTCCCTGGGCAAAGGCCTACCACTTCCTGCCCTCCAGGGGACACTCAAAGCACCATCATCTCCAAATGACACTTGCCCAGCTGGCCACTGCCTTGACGTTGGACTTCGCAGCCTCAGGACTGTGAGCTACTACAGTTTGGTTCTTTATGAATCGCTCCGTGTGGCAGCCTGTCACGGCCACACACCGCAGACTGCCGGTCTCCAGCTCACACAGCTCTCCCCGGTCTCTGGCTCCTAGGCACCTGCCAAACCGCCTGCTCGTGGGTAAGATAGGTGAAGCTCAGAGGGAGGGAACAGGCTCCTCCTGGCTGGGTCTCTAAATATTCCCTCAGCTCCACTCCACACCTGCACCCTCTGAATGTCCTCCCGCTGCCCGCTTCCTGAGCAGCAGAGGAGCTTACACACAGCACCTCCCAGGGCAGCCACCAGCCTTTCTGGGAAAGGGTCAGGAACGCAAAGGGCCTGTCCCCGTCTGGGCACGCACCGACGCTGGAAGGGCATCTTACCTGTCACCCGTGGCGCAGGCTCAGGGAGGTTAGGTGATTTGTCCAAGCCCGCACAGGTCTCCTGTGGCAGGGCCAGCTTGCAAGCCTGGTCCATCCATCTCAAGCCTCTGTGTCACAGGCCGGGACTGCCCAGAGACCTGCTCCAGTGCTTAGGAGCTGACAGCCAGGGCTCCAGGCCAGAGCAGAAGGCCGCAATGCAGGGCAGAAGTGTGCTCGGTCTCTCTTCTCCTTTTTACCATTTGGCTCACCTGAAATGATACCGCCCTTCTCCTTTGCCTCACTGCCCACGTTGTTGCCCATCTTCCTGCTGTGTGCTGGGTGGGGGTGGAAGGCGGAGATGCTGTGAGACCCCAGTCAGGAGACTGGGCCTGGTCCTGGCTGTGCCCAGACCTGGGGGAGTTGCTGCACGTCGCTGGACCCCGATTTCCTCCTTTGTAAATACTCTTTTCCCCAAATATCTCCCACCAGGATTCCCCCGACCCAGCCCCATAGGCTGCCCAGAGCCTGGAGAGTGTGATGCAAGAGGTGCGGCCCCAGATCCTCACAGCACCGGCCGGAGTTTCAGCGTCGGAAGGTGATGTAGGGAAAGAAACCCCCAGCCTGCTAGATGTCCTGTACAAGTTCACGTTCTCTGAGATCGAAGAATGAATTTTAGGACCAATGGAGGTTAAGAGCAGAATATATTTATTGGAGGAAAGAAAGCTTCTGTCCAACTGAGGGACAGAAGGGGGCCCGAGTGGGATGCCAAGGACCCTGCCTTTCCTAGGAATTTTACAGAGCAAAACCACAAGGTGAGGCGGGCCCAAGGTGGGGAAAAATGGGAAATCACAGGGCGGGCATGAGGTGAGCCACAACTGTGGTCAATCAGTGAGATTACAGGTATAATTGCTCAGGTAAAATTGATTAAATTGGGATCGAATGGGGAAGCGAGTCACCTAGCAAGCGGGCATGAATACAGAACAGGGGCCTTTCCTGCAGGGAGTTGGGTTAGTGCCTCTTCCTGGCTTTCTCAAGGTGATAGAGACCTATTTAGACTATCAATCCCTGATACTTATCCTTAGGGAGTATGTGGGTGCATCTGTTTTACCTTTTGTCTTGAGGTCTGGCTCACAGCAGAGGTGACTATCTCTCCCATAGATGTAAGGTACCTCCTCTTCTACACTGGCTCCTCGACGGTTTAGCCCTGTCTGAGTGCCTATAATATTTTTATCTGACTCAGCTGCCTATAACATTCCAGCTGGAGTTTCAGAGTCAGATGGGACCTCAGAGGCCACCTAGTTTAACTTCTCTGCAGCACCGGAGCTCTTCCTGATGCCCCACTGACCTCTCCAAGGAACCCTTTGGAGAGGCTGGCCACCTGGAATTGTTAGGAAGTGTTGTTAGCCCGTTTCTCTCTGATTCCCAACATCAGTGGCTGCCAGATCAGCATCACCCCTCTGTGGTGCAGAAAATGCCAGCTCTCTTCTCTGCAACAGCCTTGCCTACTCACAAGGACAACAGTGCGTGACCCAAGTCATCCCAGAGCGAACGTGCACCGTTTCGCGATCTTGCCTAAGGATGAGACTTCCAGAACTCCCCTTGGACACCATCCAGACTTCCACATCCGCCTTTAAGAACATCCACAAGATCTGGATGTGACATCGAGAACAAAGGGCTGTGGGGACACTCCCTTCCTTCATGTAGCCACGGTGTCCCGCTGGCGCAGACCCACCGACTACTTCATGGCAGTCACGTTACACACTGGTGCACTCTGAGTTGTGGCAGTCTAGGATTTCTGACCCTTGCTGTATTTTGTCTTTATGTAATTCATTACTTGAACCTACGTGAGACACTTTACCTTTTAAGAGTTCAATCTTTCAGTTTCAGTTTATTAAGATTTTTTTTTCAGTCCTGACATTGGTGACCTAACCCTTTAATGCTTTCTCTTAGCTTTGTGCCATTTTGCAGTAAAAATTTGCATAAGACAACTCCAGGGCCACAACTATGGCCCAGGGTGTCCTATAGGTCTGTTTATCAGTTGAGGCAGAGCATTGGAAATTAGTTACTCCTCAACCATGCCTTGATAGCTCTGCATGTAATAACATCCATTCCACGTCCCAGAAATCTATTTTTTAAAATTCACACTGACCGGAGAGATGGGCTGTCGGGCCACTTCCTCCCCAGCTCAGACAGGCCAGGAGTGCCTTTCCTGCTAACACATTTGCCCTGTGCTCCATGCCCACCTAGTCAGGTTTTGGAGATGTACATAATTACTGGTCCCAAAGTTTCCAGAATCTTCTATTATGCTGGTGTTTCTATACCACTCACCCTCTTCTTAGGATGACATGGGTGAGTGACATAGTGGGTGAATGCATGGGAAAAGATGCAACCTCCAGTGTCATAAGGAAGGTGCCTTACAAAGGTTGAGCTTCTACAAAGGAAGTGGCTGGGGGAGTTTTCTGTTTCAGCGTTACCTACATTCTTTTCATCTTTATTCCTCCTACATTTATCTCAGCCACCAGTGCCCTGGCTAACCTAATTTTGAAATTCCTCTCTGTGCCTATAGACCTTATAATGACAACATGTTTTTCTAAAAGGGCAAGTGATGTGAATCTGGTGGGAAATGGTTAAATCAAATGTCCTGAGCAAAAGTACTCATAAAGTCCTTTCCCAACTGCACACCATGGAACCAGACACAGGCACTCGGGAACAGGAAGGAAAGTTAACCCCTGGTGGGAATGTGGTTGGGGAGGGTGGAGCACCCCTCCCCCAGTCTATAAACTCCACCCTGGTGGGAGGGCTGGGGGGCTAGCAGGCCACTAGTATATATTTAGCAAGTTACTTTACCTTCATTTGTATATCAGTAAAGTGGAATGATAACAATAACTTTGTAACACTGTTCGTTGCAAGGATTAAATAAAAAATTTCATTTAAGGGGCTGGGGATTTAGCTCAGCGGCACAGTGCCTGCCTGGGAAGTGCGAGGTCGTGAGTTCGATTCCTGGTATCGGAAAACAAACAAACAAACAAAAAATTAATTTAAGTTTCTATGAGTAAATCCTTTTACATTCTCCCTTGGTATGAGTTATGTATGGCAGAGATATGTTTCTCTGTGAACATACTGTGAATATGTCTTTCCACTTGACTTTACTTTTGAGATCTGACATATGTAGTTCAGGCTCACTATGAAAAAGTGATAAAATATGCAGAAGTCAACCAAAACCACCCTAATAACCAAAGGGAACCACCCCAGTCCTTACTTTCAAGTTTTTAGGGATGCAGTTTTAAGTGTGACTTCCAGGTCATATTGTAATTCTATTTTCAAGTCTTTGAAGAACAACGATACTGTTTCCCCTAGTGATTGTACAATTTTAGATTCTCACCAGTAATGCACAAGGTTTCCGTGTACTGACATCATCCCCAACACTTACGTTATTTTTTTAAATAGTAGCTACCCTGACGGGTGAAAAGTGGCATTTTGTTTTTATTTGCCTTTCTGTAATGCATGTCTTTTCATTTGCTTAATAATGATCTGTATGCCCTTCCCAGAGATGTGTCTATTCAGGTTCTTTGCCCATTTTTCCTACTGGGTCTTTGTTATAATTGCTGTAATAACTATAAGATTTCTAATGAATTCTATTATTAATCTCTTATCAGAATAGGACTTGCAAATGTATTTTCTTCCATTCTGAGTTGCTATTTTACACTCTTGCTTGCGTAGTAATTCAGTTTTCATTTAGAGGATGTCCAACTTTTTTTTTTTTTTTTCTGTTATCTATGCTTTGGTTACAGCTAAGAAATCATTGCCATGAAATTTTACCTTGCTTTCATCTAAGAATTTTGCAGTTTTAGCTATAAACTTTCAGATTTTTGACCCAATTTGAGGTACGTTTTTATATGGTATAAGGTAATTGTCCAGCTTCATTCTTTTGTATATAGATGTCCAGTTTTCCCAGCATCATTTACTGAAAAGACTTGCCACTGAATGGTCATAGCACCCTGTTGACAATCAATGGACTGTATACACATAAGGGTTTATTTTCATACTGTCTGTTCTACTCCAATAGACTGTATCTGTTTCAGTGTATCACACTGTTTTGATTATTGTAGTTTTGAAATCAAGAAATATGAGATATTCAATTTTGTCCCCCCCACCCCTTTTTCAAGATATTTATGGCTAATGTGGGTCTCTTTTGATTCTATATTTAATTAGTTACTTTTCTTTCATTGCTAGGACAAAATACCCATACTCAACACCCACAGTTAAAGAGGGAAAGGTTTATGGAGCTCACAGTTTGTAGAGGTTTCAGTCCATAATCAGCTGGTTTCAAAGCAGGTTGGCAGATGGCAGAGGGGCAAGAGTTCATGGAGGTAGAAGACAGCAGAAGCAACAGGAGCTAAAAAGGGGGAGAGCAAGTCTCTTTTCCTCCCTTATAGTGTACGCAGGCTACCTGCCCTAGGGCGGGTGTAGCCCTCACACCATCTCCATGCCCTCGTCTTGCACAGGCACAGGATGTTTACAAAGTGAGGACCCTGGCCCCTGCTGAGTCATTTAGTTAAACTTCTAAACTTTTTTTTTGGTACTGGGAATTGAACTCAGGGCTTCATGCTTGCCAGTTAGGCACTGTGCTGAGCTCCATCGCAGGCCCTAAACTTCTCAAGTTGACACAACAAGAATCAACCATTACAACATCCTAGAGCGTAAAAAGCCGCCCCAGGGCATGTCCTCTACACCTTAGGACGTAGAACTACTGAGTCACATATTAAGCTTCTAAACTTCTCAAGCTGACACAACGTATCAACCATTACACATATGAATTTTAGAATGCTTTTTGATTTTTGTAAAAAATATAATTGGGGTTCTGGTACAGATTACATTGAATCTGTATATTGGTTTTGGTAGTTTTAAGATCTTAATATTGTCTTCCATTCTTTGACCAGGGACATCTTTTCACTTATTTATGTCTTTTTTAACTGCTTGTGGCAATTTTTTTATAGCTCTCAGTGCACAAGTCTTTCACACCCTCGGTCAACTTTATTCCTCAATACTTTTATATTTTTGTTTTGTTTTGTTTACACTGCTGGGGATCAAGCTAAAAGGCCTTGCCCACACTCACGAGTACTCTCCACCGCTGAGCCATCCCCCTGCCCCCTAAGTATTTTATTCTTAATGCCGCTGCAAATGAAATTATTTTCTTAATTTCTCTTTTTGGATTATTCATTGTTAGTGTTGGAAACGTTGATTCTTGTGTGTTGATTTTGGACCATGCAATTTTGCTGAATTCTACAATACTATTTCATTGATTTTTAGAGCTTATTCTTATAAACTGAAAATGGGGGTCTCATAGACTACTCTAAATCATACATTTTTGTCCTTTGCCCTACATATCCCAATCACCCAATAGTCCAAAGATTTCCCAGCCCATAATTAAAAAGGCAGTGTTAGGGGGCCAAGGGGCCAAGTTCCAGCGTGTTTTTTCTGCCACCATTACTGGCCTCTTCACAGGCCCTTCCATAGGGATTTGCTTTCTTTTAGGTCTACAGACTGGGTTCCACTTTTATCTCTGCCCACTACCAGTCTTATGTCTGTGCAGAATGCTTAACTTTATTGAATTTGAGCTTCTACGTTGTCGTATAAGAACATCTATATGTCCCCTAAGGTCTCTTGCAACGCTGACTACCCTATGCTAGATTATTTACCTGAGTTCAATTTTCATCAGAGTACATGTTGACTGAGGTATGGTTAATCATTTGCTAAATAGTTCAGTTTTTATTCCAGAGAAACACCTATGGTACAGAGTGTGTACAAAATAGGTTTGCATTGTATGAATTATTTTCCCATTTGAAACCCAGAATCTCACTCAAATGGCTTTCCAACCCATATTGTACTGAAGTATCCTGTTTGTTCCATTAACTATTCACAGAGTCAACTGGGGAACCGTTGTTATTAATTTCAATGGAAAGCTAAAATGTGGTTCATTTTCTATAATTGCAGGCCCACAGTCTAAAGAGCCAGCGAAAGCTTTTAATCTGAGACTTTTTTAGAGGAGTATGATCAGAATTACATTGAACATCTTTTGAAGGTGCATAATTATCAAAACCTCAATGACACTGACATTCAACGAGCTATATACCATGGAAGCTAAACTCACATGCAGGGAACAGGCAAATTGCAGTCTTAGTTACTCAAGGATGGAGAAATGGGCACGGAGAAGCTCGACACTGTTTGTACACCTTGCTTTTCTATTATATTACAGCCACGTGGCTCTTCAGGGATACCCGGGGAGGCAGATATGCCCACTCCCTCTTCTGTGTAAGCGTTCGGTGGCCGGTGATCCCACCCAACACTTGTACTGAGAACCAATCCTACAAACACTGGGAAGCCTTATGGTCCCTCCATCTGACCATCAGAGGGCACTAGAATGTGATACAGCTGACCAAGGTACTGACCGCTGTCATTCCACTGTCTTCTGGGGTCTGATGCTCAGCTGCTCTGGTCCGCAGGGGAAAACTAATCCATATCCTATTTACTGTCTTCTTCCAGAATACTAGTGTCACTGTGTGTCCAGAGCCGTTCTCCACTGGTCACAGTTCTGTTAGACAGGGAAACTTCTATTTTCCCAAAGGAGCAGGGACAGCTTCAGAGGATGCCTGTGAGTGACAGTGACCCAGAGCAGTGACAGTGAGCCACCCCACCCTAGCGAACACCTCACACCATTGTCACTGCGACTCTGGCAGGAGGCTGGAGAGTGTGAGGAATCCCATGCGGGAAAGAGCACATCTACTTTCGTTCAAAACCGAGGAGTGCGCTGCAGACGCTCATGGCAAGGAGACTCCACAGATAGAGAAGGCAGCACACAGAACAGGCGTGAGCAGCTGTCTTGTTCGGCCACTGGCACTTTGATGGGTTGAGGCTGGCAGCCTCATTCACTGTGAATGTCAAAGCCACACATTCCGAGGGGGGTGAGACTAGCCATCCCCAGAGAGGGTGATCCTCAAAGAGGGTGGTCAGGGAACCCTCGTATCTGCATTTGCTTTCCGCATGTTGTACTATACTGTCGTTCACATGCGCCTGGGTTTCAGGATCTCATTATTTTATGTTAATTAAAGTAAACCTTGAAGAGACAGGGAAGTGGCTTAAAAGGATCGCTGTAAAGAAACTGCACATGGCTGGTGTTCATAATGGAAGTGCAGTGAATACAGAAAACACAGTGGAAACGCTGCATATTCTTGCCCGAGGAACATTCCTGTGCCAGCCACATGCCGGGGACTGTGATGAGCTCTTAGCAGTGGATAGTCATAGGCCACCCAGCATTTAGTTTGGAAAAACTGCAAGCCTGCCTTTGTAAGGAAAAGACTGTTTGCACAATGAATGACATCATGAGTGTTTCTGTTCAGAGGAAATGCATGTTATTAGGAAAGCATTTTGAAAATGGGATGTTTGGAAATTTTTTATTCTTGTGGCATTTTTGTTGTCAAAAAGATTAGATTTGCAGTTGTAACCGATTAAAAACTCCTACAAATGCACATTTAAAAGTTGAAACTGAATTCTCTCTCTACTATATATGAAAATAGGCCAATCTCCTCACCGTGTTTTGAATTCACTTGTCAAAAATTATTATTACTAGTATGTAAGAACTGATGGATAGCATAGAAGATGGATCTGTACTAGCTAAATTTAAATTAAAAACTTTAAGCCAGAGGATCATGCCTATAATCCCAGCTTGGGACACTGAGGCAGAAGGTTTATAGTTTAAGGGTAGCCTGGCAACTCAGCAAGACTCTGTTTTAGGGGCCGGGGATCTTCCTGGCAAGTGCAAGGTCCTGAGTTCAATTCCCAGTACCCCGCCCCCCAAAAAAGGACTGCCTGG